TGCTGCAAGGATATATATGAGGGCAGCAAGAAAGAATATAAGGGCTTCTTTATTGGTACTCTAATGTGCAGCAGTACTGATGCGCATTACAGTACAGTACTGTACTGTATACAGTATAATAGCAAAGCAAGCTGCTGGCAATGACAATCACTGTGTGTGTGTGTGTGTGTGAAATGTGGTAAAGGGGAGGGGCTTAATGCTGGTGCTGGAAGACTGTAACTACGCACCTTATTTCCCCCTTTAAGTACTGATATAGGATAGTACAGTACAGTACAGTACTGTACAGTATAATAGCAAAGCAAGCTGCTGGCAATGAAAATCACTGTGTGTGTGTGTGTTTTTGTGAAATGTGGTAAAGGGGAGGGGCTTAATGCTGGTGGAAGACTATAACTATGCACCTTACTTCCCCCTTTAAGTACTGAAGTAAGGTATAGGATAGTACAGTATAGTACAGTACAGTACAACATAGCACTGGTTGCAATGACAATCCCTGTGTCTGAAATATGTGGTGAAGAGGAGGGGCTTATGATGGTGGAAGACTATATAACTCCACCTACATTTCTCCTTTTCTTTATCTCTCTCATCTGTTTCTTTCTTTTGTGACACTTGGTACCACAAAGAATTTTGAACTGAGTTTATTTTTTATTTTTGAAAAGCTTTTTGGAAGTACATTGTACTGTACTTTTTCTAAAGAATAAGCAGTATAAAATGTTACTTTTCAAAGGACCATTTGATAAAATTCAGAAGAACCTTGATGGAGAGTTAACATCAGTACATAAATAATGGGACAGCTGACTTTTTTTTAAGTGATTGCTGTCAACCTATATAATGTATGATATGTAATTTATATGATATACCCTTGCAGATAATTGAAGTCTTTTCTGTTTTCTGGGTCATCTTGTATAAATTATACCTATCATTTTTCCTGTTTTTTTTCAAGCTTCAAGAAGTTCAACAGTCATAAAAGAACTCTAAAAAAGACATTTTTGAATATGCTTGATGCATTCAAATAATTTTATTCAAAAATTCCACATTACAGTATTCTACTGAATTCACAGTAACACCATTCCTGGGAAACCAGTTTCTATGACATCCAGTGCAGTATATATAATACAGTAAATACACTTTATAGATTAGCCTGAATTGTTCCATTCATTGAAGTAGTGTACTGTATATGAGAACAGCTCATCTATGAAAGTGGTAATGTTCAAGTGTTCAACACACTTATGGATATGAGTCATATGATATGTACACATATTTACATATACATTATGCAACAGATCATTTATAATGGCATAAAAAATGCAATTGGTAAGCTTTTTTTTTATCATGAAAGCAAGTTTTATCAAACATTGGGTGACTTGTCATCAGTTATCATTATATTTGAAAATGTTTCATAATTTTGTCCAGAAATTAAAAATCAGAGCACATTTAAGGCTGGACACACTGTTTTTTTACATTTTCTGCATAACTTTTTACAAATTCGTTTTAAAAATAAAAAACCAAAACTTGTGAAATGTATATAATTTTGAATTCAAGTGGACAGCATAACCTTATACACAAAAATAATATAAACATTCAGTGTAGAAAAACATTCCATGAATTGCTTGAATTTACAAATATCCTTCTATGCAAATTCAAAAATTCTGCATACATACATCTCAAAATGTCTAATTATAGATGTGATGTAATTTATATATTTCAACCATTCTACAGAGGTACTCATTTTTAAATATTATAAAAATCATTGCATAATTTATAAAACTTGAAAGAACTGTGATACAAATGACATTGACTTCTCTTTATATCTTCTTCCATTCTTGAACAGTTGCTTGAAAAAGTTTGAGAAATTATTGACTAATCATCAAAATTTATTTCATTAAGTTCAATGAGTGTTTAATTGAAAGGGTCAGCAGATAATTTGGATGAAAAAACATCTTTCCCACTTCTTCAATAACTTTTTAAAAATTTTGCAAGTGGAGAGTGAACTGGAACTTTAAAATGTAAATCAATTTATGCATTTTGACCATTATTTCAAAAATATGTATCAAATCCTTCAGCTTTCACTGGAGATTGAAATTCATAAAATATTGCTTCAACAGACATTTCAATAATATGACACTCAATGGATTTTTGTTTCAACAATTTCTGTGTCCCACATTTTTAAATCTGACATTCCATTAAACTGCTCTTCACAGTTTCAGCATACTCTTCAAGTGTTGCATCTTTGTATTATATTTTCTTGAATCCATTCATACTCCATGATTCAAAGAAGATTCATCAGTTAAATACTGTATATATTTAAACTCTGGTGAAAGATACTTTAGACTTTTTAATAAGTTTTCAATTTTTTAAAATGTTTTGAAGACTTGGTTGACTGAAGTATGAATGGGCAAATATACTGAATGATTCAGTGAGATCTCTGAAATTTAAATTATGATGCTCTAACAAGTGTTTTATCTCTAATCTCCATCACAGCATTTCTTCATATACTGTATCAAGGAAAGGTAAAAAATGTACAGTTATTCTTCAACAATTAACCACTTGTACATGGTTAATGAAAAGGAAATTTTAAAACTTGTGAAAGGTACCCATGCCTTTTTTGAAGTAAAGCTTTTCCATCTCACAAGTTTTTCTGAGCATTCTCTGTGTAGAGCCCTGCAATGCAAGAAATTGGAACCAGGAATCAGACCCTTGACAAAGTGCCCATGAGCCTTGGGGACCAGAGAGATGATGAAAACTATTCCCTGGGTGACAAGAATGGGGACAAATTGGTAAGGATGTACTTCTGAAATTGCCCTGAGACTTTCTCATACTCCAGGGCTATTTTTCATTCTTGCCCCAGGTATAACCCAGTATATATATATTCTTTTCTTCATGGGGAATATGCAAGCTAAAATAATGCCTCAGTGATAAAAGACTGCAATTAAGCCCAATTTGACAGGACTTGAAAGAATAGGGAGAGGAAAATTACTGCTTGAAATTCCACAGGAGTATTGTATTAGTTAAGAATCATCTGCTGCATTGTGTGGCAAGGGATTCCTGAATAGACCCTGATGGGAATGATTCAGCTTTGTCCCAACAAAACCCAGGCTGATGAACCATGTGCACAAAGGCAGCAAAACACAGCAATTCATCAACCTTTTGACCCCCAACCTCCTGCATACCAGCTGTGGTGAAAGACAGGGGTTATCACACACAAGCCCAGTGATGAAGCAATTCATTGTCTGCCCAAGGCTTCAATCACAGCCATGTCTGAATTATTGATGGTGTTGAAAACCCAGATGATTCTTTTCTCAAAGAAAAATCCCTTTGCATCAGAGGTTTGGTCAATAATTCTTTGATTTTCAAGGGAATTGTTGCCTTTTTTTATCTGGCTGTGGAAAATCAAAGAAAGCTATTTCAAGCTATATGGATAAGGCATGTCCAGTGGGTGACAAATGAAGGTGGACTGTTCCCCCTGCTGGGACAGGGAATGGAGGAAGTTATCTTGCATGTTTATCCATCAATCACAGGCAACTTCTTTTTCTGCCTATGTTCACTCTAACTCTATACTTCTCACAAGTGCCTTCAATCATTGTTTCCATTAAAAGGAAATTCCAAACATTTCCTGGGCTTCAATTTTGCATGCTAGAATTTTAGATCCATTTCTTGCATGCAAGAGTGATTGACATGCAATGTGGAACCCTGCTCCGCAGAATTCCTGATTCATTGCAAGTTCTGCACCAGGGATCCTGGGAAAAAAAGAAGTTGGGAGGAAAAGGGCCTTTTTTTTTCTCCCACACAGGGCCCAACATCAATCAAAGTGAGGCAATCCACTTATGCCCCCTGGATGAAAATCTAATTTACCCACCCCATGTGGGTAGAATGCAGAGTACCTGGCTTTTGATCCCCTTCAACTGGCAACCCTGAAACCCAGAGAGGGTTGTTGAATCAAGGCTGCCTTTCATCCTGGGTATATAACTTCATTCCTGGGATGTAACCCAATTTCAGTATTTCACCCAGAAAGTAGCCACTGGAATGGGACACAAAAGATGGGACTTGTTCCCTCCCACAGGCCATAAGGAAACTGGCAAGAAAACCACCATTTGCTTTCCCCCCTCCTCACAGCACAGATGTCAAAGGCTTTCTGGGTTGTTGACTCCACAGCCCTGGATTTATTGCAGAATTTCCCACATACCAGGGGGAACTGCACCTAGGATTCCATTTCCTGTGTGCTACAACCACTATTGTTCCATATCCAGTTTCCTTAGGGGGAAGCTGCACAATATAAAAATGGGGGGGGGGTTCACTTGTTTTTTCTTATGGATAATGGATCCGCAATGTGATCCCACTGGTGGCTGATGGTCAACTGGGGAAGTGATGGGCGGCAAAGCGAGTCCAACATCAACCCAGAAGAAAGGGGACCAAGGGGAGCTTAACGCCCCCTGTTCATTTCTGTATATATATATGCTCTGTGAAATTTTTTCCCGCTCTGGGATCCCGGGCGCATGCCCGCCCGCAAAAATCACGCAGTCTAAATATTCATGAGAAGAAAATTTACTTGCATCAATTTCAACACCGTGCAATTTAGCCATGAATATTTAACACATTTTGGTCGGATTTGTTGGACATCTACGCGTTTGTGTCAGTAGGTGGGAATCACGCGAGAAACGGATTATGGCCTGAATCGCGTGCAGGGGTGGCTTGAACAGTTTTATGGGTCAACTGAACGGCCGAAAAGCGCGGCCTTGCGTGGTTCGCGGCAGTATAACCGGTCATTCCTTCGCAGCACCTCAATTAAATTTTTGAAGCTTTGGAATCTGTAAAAAAGATGTATTCAAATGAATAAAGAACTATCATAGAACTTAATATATTTTATAAAACAAAATTTTCATGATATACGTTTAATTTTATGACTTTTACGAGCCTAAAGTAATTGTTCATGGAATCATCGTTTGCACAGTGTTACATGTATTTTTGACTGAGCGCTCCGGAAATCGCAACTCTCTTGCTAGTCACCTGCCGTGGCCCGCTAAAGGAGGATTACCTACTGCTTTACGATCGCGCTGAATCTACAATCGCATGCGATAAAATCTTCGTTGATCTGCGAAATATGCACGTGACTCCCATGAGTGCAGTCTGTTGTTGCGAATGATGCGTGATTTTAAACCATGTGTATTTTACTAGTGTAACGCGACGATATGACGCGTTTGGAGCATTGGTTGACGTATCTGCTCCTTCTGGGGGTTCCGTGGCTCCTGGTCGTCTCCGGAGTGATATCGTCTTCAGCTTCGGAGAAATACTCGGCTTTCATCGTATTCCTGCCCGTAGTATTTCTCTTCGCTTTCGCCGTAAGTCATGGCATTCTGAAAGTGTTCTAAAAGAGCACGAATAATCTAAGGTTATTGTGTTGGGATTTGCAGAGCTACGTAATTGGACTCTTCGTGATGAAAGTGCTACGCTTCAATGACTGTCCGGAAGCCGCTGCAGAGCTTCGATCGGAGATTAAACGAGCTCGTGCCGATCTCGCCTCGCGGGGTTTTGAATTCAAGTGATACCAGAAAAAAGATGAAGTCCGTGTTTTCTTACTGTATCATTCCCTTCTTCGTGTGTTTAGACTACCTAACCCATGTTATTTGTTTGATATCTTTCGGGTAGGTATGTTCAAAGAACCGCGTGTTCCAGCGAGTCGAAAGCGGGCTTACCAACATTTCCAAGTGTCTTCGGAGACTCAGAAACTCGTTCTTCCTTCTGGCGAAAGTACTCTGCATAGGTATCGTGGTGCCGGGGCTCAGTATGCTCAAGCAGTGGCTCGTCGGCGAGAGCCCGACGGGATTTCTAAAGTTGAAGCGTACCTTGGAGTCCGCGTGAGCAATGGAAATGGAAACTCCCAAAGCTGCTCTCAAGTGTCCAAGAGCTCCTTGCTCGCTGCCATCGTGAGTTACTACATTATTTTTGAGTTGTGACTGGAGGAAAAGTATCTAACTCATCATACGACGATTCGTGATCTCGTGAATCAATGGGGTATTTCTCAGTACCCCTTTTTGTGCTCGTCGAGTTCCTCTTCGTGATGAAAGTGCTACGCTTCAATGACTGTCCGGAAGCCGCTGCAGAGCTTCGATCGGAGATTAAACGAGCTCGTGCCGATCTCGCCTCGCGGGGTTTTGAATTCAAGTGATACCAGAAAAAAAATGAAGTCCCTGTTTCTCACTGTATCATTCCCTTCTTCGTGTGTTTTGACTGCCTAAGCCATGTTATTTGTTTGATATCTTTCGGGTAGGTATGTTCAAAGAACCGCGTGTTCCAGCGAGTCGAAAGCGGGCTTACCAACATTTCCAAGTGTCCTCGGAAACTCAGAAACTCGTTCTTCCTTCTGGCGAAAGTACTCTTCATAGGTATCGTGGCGCTGGGGCTCAGTATGCTCAAGCGGTGGCTCGTCGGCGAGAACCCGACGGGATTTCTAAAGTTGAAGCGTACCTTGGAGTCCGCATGAGCAATGGAAATGGAAACTCCCAAAGCTGCTCTCAAGTGTCCAAGAGCTCCTTGCTCGCTGCCAAGCACTCAATGATGTAATAAAAACTCAACACTGACCTCCTTTTCATAGATTGAGTAGTATGCTGCTAAGCACTAGAGCACTTAGTTACCCCATAAAGAGTCATGGGGAAAAACACGAGCAGCTCAAGGGTATTCAGTGCCGCATTTCCTCCTTCGGTTACTGAAACTCCGTGTGGGATTCCATACTTTCCTGCATTTCAGAAAAATGCGTCAATGTTCTCTTTGCCAAATGATGACAGAGTGATTCGGGTCGAGAAACGAGTGGATGAGCGAGCACCCGATAGTCAAGCCATGAGCATCACGAAAATCGCATTGAAAGAAGCCTCACGCGGGAAGTTGCCGAACTTCCAGAAAACCTCTGAACCTTTTCAGAAAATCATGGAAGACTTGTGTTCACGATTCGTGGCTCCTGAAGGTGAGTTTTTTTTTCTGCTTTTTGAATTGATAGCGAAAAATACCTCAATTACGCCAATAGAAGAGGCCTTGTGTGTTCGAGAGCCGTAAAAGTGATGGAAGGTGTAAGACGTTGAATCTCGTGAAAGAACATTTTTGCGCGTCTTATATTCGTGTAAGTTTGCCAAATGATCACTATATTTTCTAATGGGAGAAAATGTGTCGTTCAGATCGTCCGGCGCAATTCAAGCAAGACTTCCGCAAGTTTATGAAAGATCTGCTACAAACTCCGCGTGGTTCGACAGAGGTGTGTTCAGTGAGACCCGTGGAACCCATCCGAACCCAACTTCGTCCCGAAGAAACCC